TTCCTCGAATGTAAACTACCAAAAAAACCAAATCACTGGGTTTGTACTTTCACGTATAACACGACGAATGCCACAAGTTAGGCAGAATCCGCTTACCCTTCCAAAGCACCCGAAATTACGCTGATGGATTTATGCTACCCAGTCATACTGATCTATTCAGTTGAGCCAATCAAAACTGTCTTTACATTTTCTTTTTATGCTGTGCTATGATACACTAGGTTAGGATAGGGATTAGCGCTTACATACATGTTAAACTCCGCCGCGTGCACTTTCTTTAAATGCCTGCCCCAAGTCAGGCACCTGTAGTTCAATGGTTGTCGTTGTTTCATGTGTGTCATATTTGTTTTTATACGCCCGTCAAAATTTTGACGGGACGTATTATGGTATACAAATGTCGTCTGTCCGTCTGTCTGTCCGGCGTAAACATGTCGCACCTTAACTTGAGAACGACTTATCCAAATTTCATGAAACTTTACATAGTTGTTTCTAATGATGGTCAAACGATCTGTATACTTTTTGGTGAAAATAAGATTAAAACTTTTTGAGTTACGGGACTTAGTAACTAAAACAGGTGTGTGTATTTTTTTCACATGTCGCGCGGTACCTCAAACACAATTTATGATTATTGCTTAAAACTTTACACACTTTTTAATTATATTAATCTTAAATTCTGTATACTTTTTGGTGATGATTCAAAATTTTATTTTTGAGTTATTGAGTATTTTGTAAAAAAAGGGGAAGGGGTTTTTCACATGTCGCGCCGTATCTCAAAAACGATTTATGATTATTGCTTAAAATTTTATACACTTCTTAGTTATATTAATCTAAAGATCTGTATACTTTTTGGTTTTGATTCAAAATTTTATTTTAGAGATATTGATTTTTTGTTTTTTTTTTTAAAAGGCGGTTTTTCACATGTCGCGCCGTATCTCAAAAACGATTTATGATTATTGCTTTAAATTTTACACACTTCTTAGTTATATTAATCTTATGATCTGCATACTTTTTGGTTTTGATTCAAAATTTTATTTTAGAGATATTGAGTTTTTTTTTAAAAAGGGGAGTTTTCGCATGTCGCGCCATATGTCAGAAACTATTTATGATTATTGCATAAAAATTCACACACAAGACGACGGGCGTATCATGCGCTCAAGGGGCAGTTGTTTATTCGTAGATTGTTTAGCTATAAACTAGACCATTAGTTTTCTCGTTTGAATTGTTTCACATTTTCACGTGGTGGTCTTTTGTAGCCGACTATACGGTGTGTTGAAGGCTGTATGGTTGCCTATGATTGCTTGCATCCACTGCATTTAAACTATGGTGGATAATTTTCTCATTGGCAATAAACCACATCTAACTTTATTTCAATTTCTATGTTGTGTTTTGTATGCTGTAAAACTGTTTATCTTTTGTACGCATACCTTCCCCTGAACCCTCTTTTCGGAAGCTCGAGCAAAAGCCCTTGATCCACGATAAAAAAAATAGAACTCATATTAGATAACTGGAATTTCAACTCTTAATCTTAATCTAAATGAAACTCAAATAAGGGTTTACCTCGAACTCTACGCCAAAAGGTGACTCAAATTTAAAGTTGAAGTCCAATTGTAATTCGGAACTATCTTTAAATGTGACTCAAACTCGAAGTTCAACTCGAAATTTGGTATGTGGTTGAGAGTTGTCTCATTGGCAATCATACCACATTTCTTTATTTCTATATAAGGTTTTGTTAATGCATTTAATATTACCGAATTAAACTGTTTTGACATGATAAATTTGTAAACCTCCATGAATTGTTATAAAACTTGTATAGGAGTTATTCTTCAAGATCAAGATAAAAGCATCTACAGAAAAACATGTTTTCCTCCGTTAAGTGTACCGGTTAATGTACAGTCAGTCAACATTTAATTTACGCTTTTACACTGACAGCAGAATTATCTGGCGAGACACAGGGTTAAAAAGAATCTTTAATTTATTTATTAATTTACAGCTTCCATTTGAGAACTAAGGAAAAAACGGCAGGACCAAATGGTTTGGGATATGTCCGAATTACTGTTAATTTTTTAGTACTTTTTTTCTTATTTTTGTCTGTCGTTCCTTTTTTCATACCAAATAACTCTGAACAACAACTTGAACTTTAATTTGAACTTTAACTTAATGGATAGCGGTACTCATCCAAAGGTCTAAAAATAGAACATATTTTTTCCAAAATGGTCACGTGGTTTTACCTCGTAGAAGTAATGGGATAACCACATCAAAGAATGACATGACCACATCAAATACTGAAACAAACACATCATGTAATGTAAAATCGTCAAATTTTGAAACATCATTACGTAATGTTAAAGCTATATAAAGAATTGGCAAATCATCATTACGAAATAACAAAACCACATCATGTAATGAAACAACTACATTACGTCAAGTCACATACACATCAAGTAATGGTAAAACCACATTGCCTAATGACACAACCACATTAAATAATGGTGAAACCACATCGAGTAATGACAGAACCATATTAAGTAATGACAAAACTATATCAAGTCAATACGAAACCATATCATGTAATATCGGAATATCATTAAATAATGACTTTTCCATATCAAAACATCATTACGTAATGTCAAAATCATATTATGTAAAGACAAACTATCATCAAGTAATAACAGAACAACATAACGTAATATCAGAGTTCCACATAAGGCAGCTGTGGCGTTCCATACACCGAGGTTCCTTTTTTTCGTTTTATGTAACAAGTAAAAATGTATAAATCAATCTGTGAGTTTTGAAATGTTCTGTCTAGTTGTCTCAAATTTTAATATTTCGGGCCTTTTAAAGATTACTATAGGGTATAGTTTTAAAGTTTTAATTATTGTTAAAGGAAGTATGTTGACATGGTTAGCATCTTTGTCTTTAAATCTTTATTGATAGTTGTCTCGTTTGCATTATACAAAATTTTCTTATTTCAAATTTTAAATACTAAGATGTCAGAGGTCAATATTTGGTTATATTTTGTAAGAAGTATGACCGTTGTAAGCAAATGATAACTTTACCTAAATATATATTTTAACAATATAGTGTATATCGTATGATGGTCGAATTAGGTTTTATTCGCGTTTCGTGACCTTGTGCAAAACTTCAAAGTAAAGGGAAATCTTTGCGCATAATGCATTTGTTAAACGCTGAATTACAACCGAGAACGTAGTGCGAATACTACTTTTTTCGAAAATTTCCAGATCCGGAAAAAAAGAATATGTAACGGCTGTTCTTGACATACGACAAATCGTTTCAGACAAAAAACTTACAAAATATATGGTTAAAAAGTATATCAGTCATACATTTACAACTACTGCTTTAAATATTCATATGTGATAGATTTAGTTAAGCAAGGGAAATGGTCCATTAAATTTGATAATACGTTCAAAGGGAATGGGAAAATACGTCAAGGAGACATAAACCAAAATGAAACATCACAAAACCCAAAACACATCATACAGAGGTAATCAACGGTTGTGAGACAAGAGTTTTCAGGCTGTTCGCTGCTCTGTTTCATAATAACAAGCTTTATAAATTATAAATAACTGAACTAAAACAACAGAAAACATTAAAGGTCCGTGTCCTTGTTTTTGAGATACAAGTCCTTGAAAAATTGTCGGGAAATGATTCTCTCTTTTTTGCACCTATTTTATTTCCAAAAACTATAAAAAAATGACAAGAATTTTATAAGATTTTCAAAATTGACTCTTAAAACTATATTTTATATTAATAATTACATGAAATAGAGGGGGGTTAGCGGGCAAATTCTTTTAATCGATAAAACCAGATGATTCCGAATATTTGACAAAAACCATTTCAGCAAACATCATTAAAACCAAATTCTGAGAAGGTTCCTGGCTAGTAACAGACATTTAAACATTTAATGGGGTTGAGCTTTTTTTTTTATCAAATCGTCTTCCTTTAAAAAAGAGGAGATGAAATCAAGGGGACAATCAAAAATCACAAGTCGGAGGAAAACTTAGGGGTGATCTCATGAAGGATAATCAGATCCTTCTCTACTAGTGGCACCCATCATTGTGATCGTGGCAAGTTAAAATTCGTGATGTCATAATTGCGAAAAAGAAGATGAAATGGTTGTAACGACGATTGTAACAAACTCATGGTCATCTGCATAACGGTTATGAACGCAGCACTGACTACAGTCTAATGATACCCTCTAATGTAAGAAAAACTTATTTAGGAAATGTCCCTAAAATATTGCGTAATTCTAAAACAGAAAAATAGCCAATTCAAGCAATGATAGTACATTTATTAACTTCAATTTATCTTTTCATACATGGGATATTCTTATATATCCCGAAAGACTTAATTTGAAAATGTAACGCTCAGGTGTCATTGCTAGAAAATGTTTTGACTGAAATATTTGGAAATTCCCTAAGCATTTTGCATAGCCAACTGAGTTTTTATACTAAGTAAAATGCCAAAAAACTTCAGCCGTTTATTAGATATTGGTCATATATGGTGAAAGGAATATATAATTGATTTCTTCGCTCGTTGTTGCTATTCTTCTAATGGCTATGAGATGCGCAACAATGACCTACATTATGTGGAAACTAAACCATATTATATGATTTTAATCAATATAAATTATTTTTCAGATGTTGGCTTGGGTGTTGTCTCATTCCCCTCTGTGTTAACGCCAGTAAAGACGTCGTGCACTCCTGTCCTAACTGTAAGCAGATGGTCGGAAAGTACAACAGGATGTAGGATCGTTGTTTAATGACACGTGACATCATAATTAAGAAATGCATGTTTACTTATTAGTTGTCTTGGTTTTATTTAATGTCCATGAATCTTTTAAAAGAATCGTTGCTGTGATATAGATTTTAATCAATCTGTGATAAAAACATTTTTAAAATTATTTGTGTACTCTTCTTACCGTTTATTTGACATCCGTAGTTAAATATTTTGTATTTACAATGTACAATGTATGTAAAAGGTAATACTATTGCAAAAACGTGTTTATTCTATGCAAAGACTTGACTTACAATCTGACTTCAAATGTTACTTTCTTATACGTATCAAAATATACATTATGCAAAACATTTTGTAAATGGTACTTTATTTCTTGATATATGTCTCTTTATGTTTCTACAATGTATTATGCATACAACTTCTATGATCATGAGCACGCACTACATGTAGTTCCTTTGTTTGACTGTAACTGAAAAATAATAAGTCGAGTAAGCCAATTAGCATTGACAAAACACAATATGAAGAACATTAAAAGTGGGAAAAATACAATAAGGAAAATCAAAAACAAAACCCATAATAAGAATAAAATCAGACAAAACTATACTTCATAAGTGTAACGTTTTCTTACCTATTACAATACAAATATAGAAGTTGGTTTTTTCTTCATTTTCAGCAATGCTTTACCTTCTTTTTGTTACTATAAGAAGTTCCTCAAACTGATGATTAAGACATTTTGTGTTTTAGATTTCAAAAACTTTTTTCATTGTAACAACATTGGATTTTTTTTTTAACTTACAATAATATTGGTCAATGTTTGCACCTTATTATATCTTATCTATTTCAGTTAATAATACCATCCGTAGACCTACCTTTAATAGTCACCTAATAGTACTTTTTCCCGTAACGTGGCTTAGTTCTTTTTCCTGTATATCCATATTCTGAGCTGGCATTTTGCGGTTCACTTTTGTACCTTACAAATGAGAAAATGTATTTTTCTGTTGAAACATAAACAGCGAAAAGCGCTTTTCTTCCGTAGATTTACTTTGGAACAAGGGAATGTAGAGTACATACATGTACCACACAATACGATTTTTATCGCCTCACTTCCGGGTACGTTTCAAAAGAAGTCAACAACACTGAACGAATATAATTTATCTTTATTATCATGTATCATGTCACAAGTGGAGCAGGATCTGCTTAACCTTCTGGAGCACCTGATATCACACCGGGTTTTGTGTGGGCTTCGTGTTGCTCAGTCTTTAGTTTTCTATGTTGTATTTTGTAAGCTGTTGTTAGTCTTTTTGTCGTTTTTCGTTTTTGCCATGATGTTGTCAGTTCGTTTTCGACTTATTAGTTTGAATATCCATTTGGTATCTCAGACCTCACTTAAAAGAGTATAAGATGGTATTTTTTCATTAGCAGGTTCAATTTATCGATCTAGCTTTTAACCGCGACTATTATTTTAGGGGAAAAGATAGTATTCTTTTCAACCATATGCGACTATTCTTGTTTTTTTTTAAATTTGCAACATTCTCCATTAAAGCTCAGGACAAGGAATTTATTTGGGATAAAAGTACTTTTGTCATCATTTTAAACTGAAATAAAATGGTGGATTTTTCGGAACTGATTTTTATTTCCATTTATTCTATGTGCCTTTGGGTATCATACCCAGCAACAGCACACAGATGAATACCTACAAAACAAGTTTTCACTCGCCACGTGTTAATGTGAATGTCCCAAATCAGAAACATCGTCTTTTTGGGGTTTTGTTCATTTGGAATATATCATATATTTTTTATTAGTTTAAAATTAATTTGTCGATGCCTCTATTCGGGGGTTACATCACTTGTCATTTGGTGATAACTTTTTTCTAATGTTAAGCTATCAAAGATGTCTTTTGTTAGTGTAGCTTTTGTTTGATCCTTGTCTCATCGCAATCCCCACTACCTCTTTTGTAAATTTTCAAAAACATAAATTTACCAGTTTAATTTATCAGACATTTCTTTAACGTGCAATCGTGCATCATTCCGCTCTGCTCGGTATCTGGCTGCATCAGACTCTATTTGGTCCAGATACTGACTTCCGGTTCCTCTAAATAAATGGATTACAAATGTAGTCATAACTTATAAGGAAAATAGAAATAAAATAGATCAATATATTTATTGCGAAATATCTTCGGACTTCATAAGGTTCTTGTTTTTTTATTGGAAATAAATAAGAAACTCAGTAGTTCAAAATCAAACAATTATTTTTCAAAGGAAAGAAGAACAATTCAAATGTCTGCAACAGTTTTCACATGGTATAGATCATGGGTTATTTTATGAAAACTTGTAATAACTTCTAGCTAGTATTTCTTTAAGCAAACTTATAATGTTTTTGGTATGAGTCTATCAAGTCTTCTCTTATTAGGCAACTTACTTGTTCATTGCGTGGCATATGTTTTCATACACGCCTTGTAGATGTTCATACTGTTTACGTAGCTGATCATACTCTCCCTTTTTGTTGTTAGGTCTGGTAATTCTACATTATTGAATACGAAAAAATCGAAAATTATAAGACAAAAAAGATTACATGCGTTTTTGTGCTAAGCCTACCCCACTAGTAATTTAAAAAAAAATCGAAAATGAGTTTTAATGTCCCTTTGTTGTCTATCGTCTCTATTTTAAAGTATCGAAAAACAGGAAGTATGTATCTGACATATCCAATAATCGTTCATATCTTACAGCTCATCACTGTCAAGCTGCTGAATATAAATTCAATCTGTTTAGAAGTACTAGAGAAAAGTGTAACGAAGTTCATTCAACATTTTCAAAATTTCGAAAATTTCTAAAAATTGGAAAACAGGAATTTTTTGTCTGGCAGATCATAAAAGTTTTGGTTTTTTTTTCGACGCATCACTTTTATGCGGTTGACCAATTATGAAGTTATTATATTCAGTAGTACTGTATAAATGTGAGACAAAAAAAGTAACATACTGAAAAAAGTATCGGTAAACAGAAAGTAGATATCTAACAAAAAAAATAAAGTGTTCACACGTTACAACTCATCACTCTCAAGTCCTGGCCATAATATATGATCATAGTACTCTGTGTTTACTAGCATCATTTTCCCTCGTGCTAAGTAGAACTACAGCAACACGTAACCCTGGTATGTAACTCTACACCGAACTGTAAAATTGTGCGTAATTACTATCAATAACATCATATGATATAACATACTGTTTTCCACTTCTTTCATTGTCCTTACAATATTTGAACCAGTAATCTCTGTTATCTTTATACCACTGAACTTCTTTTTCTAATCTCCCTCTACAAAGTGACAATATAATTGTTTTTAAACAAGTTACTCCTTCAGAACATATGTATTTACTTCCGATTTCCATAGGGTTCGTGTTGCTCTTTTCTATATTATCATTTTTAAGTCTTTGTATCCGCTCATATTTTGTAATATTAGTGACTAACGCAAGGTACACAACATGTATGAAGATCCAATGCATCTTGATAATCTTCATAAGCAATAGCGTATACTGCGTATTGTACGTAAACAACTATAGAGCACTGTAAGGCCTTCATCAATGAGGAAATTCCATACCGTATAAAAAGATATTAAAGACCCGACACAATATAAAACAATTCGGACCAAAAAACAACAACGGCCTGATTTATGAACAAAACAATAAACGAAAAATAAATATGATAGACAGCGACAAATAACAACAAATAAATTACAGGCTCCTGACTTGGGACTGGCACATACAGAATGTGGCGGTGTTAAACCTGTTTGAGAGCACTCAACCCTTCCTGTAACCTGGAAAAGCGGTGTATCAGCACAACATAAGAACACACTGTAAAAAAGTTGATAAAAAAGACATGACTCATCAGATTTACACAATGCACAAAAAGCAATTAACAAAAAGACTATAAAGTATTGATGTAAGAGTACTCGCAGTTACTGAAAGCTAGTTCAAACCCAATAACAACTAATAATTGAATAATGTTTCCAATACTAAAACGACTGTCTTTTTTTAGCATAACATTCATAAACTCTGATCATTGAATACGTCTCGTTTTCCATCTTTTTCCGTTGTGATGAGCAATGTGAAAAAAACAAATGTGAAGTCAGGTAAGGTCAAATTCTTCTTATTTTCAAATATATTCTACGTTTTCCTGACAAGGAAAGTTTTGTGATACTGATTCCTAATAATGTTGATACTATTTAGGGCTGATAATGATCCTTAATTTGCTTTCCCTCTTCAAATCGTAAGAATTGGACAGGGTGATACCTGTTCAAAGAAGCATGCGACGAGTTTAAACTTATTTATTATATAAGCACATTTATCCTATAAATATTTGACGTTTTCGTAGAATAGATACTTTTTGCTATCATCGTTTCTTTGCTTCGGGGGTACCTATATCTGGTGTTGATGATACATAGAAAATATGACGGTAGGCAATGACGAAGTAGTAACAGCTTACTTTTCCGATTAACCTCGGATCTATTGCTTTCTAGTGAAAATTTAGAATGTTGTATGGATTATTGTTTGCATAGCGGATGCTTATCCTGTTCACGCAATTGGTCTGACTCCATGAGGGATTCATACGACTTTGATTTTTTTCATTCCAATTTATGTCGGTTTTATAACTGGACTTATGAGATATAACTTGACAAAAGTTAAAATCTTTATACAAAAATATGAAAACAACACGTTATAAATGTCATGTGTCAGAAGCGCTTTTCTGGATTTACCTTCATCAGGAACGCTCAAAGCCGAATATTTGAAAGCCAAGGATGTATAAGAAACGAAATAGTTATACATTGTATCAATACATATGTTGTCTTTCTCCTCAATTTATGTGTTTTTTTATTGTACCTAAGTTTTTTTTTTAATCACAGTTATATTTTCATTACTTTATCAATAATAAGCATCCATCATTCTTTGTTATTTCATTGAATGTTTATTCACAGCAAATACACATAATGTAATTGATATTTATCAATATCCTTAGGCATCTGATGGAACGTGAATACTTGATCGAAAATTCAAGTAAACTATTCATTAGACATATTTGTTCTGTAAAAATTAGGATTAGTCATCAAGTTTTTTCACTTTGATTTAAAAAAAAAAACACATGTTTGCTCTATGAAACATAATATATATATAATGATGATATTATTTTTGAAAGTAAATATTTTGAAAGTTGTTTTCTTAAGGTCCAGTGGCAAATTATTTCAGCATGTTCAAGATGAGAACAAATTACAAATTAATACAATAGATAGGTCCTACAATAGGGATCGACCGGGGCGAAGGGCAGAAAATTTAGAATGCCACTTCAAAAATGAGGGTATGTTGGAAATGGATCGAAATTTAGCCTTGAAACAGGCCACCTACAAATGTACACAACTCCCGAAGAATTGTTGAAAGGTTTCCTTAACGTACATAGAACGTTGAACTCTTTCTATATAAAGAATTGGAATTCTTACCGGAAATGGCTGCGAATTTATACATCTCGCACAGCCAAACGCACTCTACATTTTGGCAAGACTTTTTCTACCAGACCAAGGTGACCATATTTCTATACCCCAATCGTCCTTAGGGTCAAAAAGAAAAGAGTGATTTACTTTACTTACACATCTTCTGTAAGATGGTTATTTTCTTTTTCCAATTCAATTATCTGTTCTTCTAAATCTTTTATAACTTTTTTTGTATTTCTATCAGTTACTGGCGAGCCTTTCTTTTTTCCTTTACTGTAATAACATAAACGGTATAAATTTTACTGCACTAGAAGCGTAATTTTACAATTACTTGTAATTCTCTTCGATGTGGCTAAATACAAAACCGAATACAAACGTCCACATGTACATTCAAAAGTGTAAGTGGAAAAATACAAATGTTACAACAATGCTTAGCTTTAATACATAGCTTTAATAGATGTGTTGTGTTAATATTCATGGTGCATAGAAACTGAATCAAATGTTTAATTTACTTTTCACAAAAGGGTTAAATGCAATTATTTGTCATTATTTTCAAATCTATTGAAATCTGATATATATATATATAGGTCCAAAGAAATGTTGGATTATAAATTGAATTGTTTTATTAAATCATACTGGAAAAATCATTATTGCATACAAATTTAAAAAAAAATATCGATAGGATAGTATTTTTGGAAAGGTTTTAAATTAATATCTTTCAGAAAATATGGGAGCAAACTGGACACATAAGCATACTGAAACATTAAATTAAGGATATTCTTCATTTACGTTATTATACTAATATGAAAATAAGGAGATGTGGTATGATTGCCAATTAGACAACTATCCACCAAAGTTCAAATGAAGTGGATATAAGCAATTATAGGCAGCCGTACGGCCTTCAAAAATGAGAAAAAAACCCAAACCATATAGTCGGCTATAAAAGGCCCCGACATGAAAAATATGAAACAATTCAATTAAGAAAACTAACGGCCTAAATTATAACAAAACAATTTACGAAAAACAAATATGACAGACATGAACCAACCACAACCACTGAACTACAGGATCCTGACTTGGGACAGGCACATATAGAATGTGGCGGGGTTAAACATGTTTGTAAGCGCTCAACCCTCCCCTAACCTGGGACAGTGGTGTAACAGCACAACAGAAGAACAAAATATAAAAATCAGTTGAAAAAGATCTGAGAGTTCTCGCAGTTACTAAGAATTTATTAAGATTTCACAATCCTTAACTATAGTCTCAACCCTGCTTTGTATATATCTTTATATGTATTTACCTTTTCATATCAGTCGTCATATAGGGTTATAAAAAAATCACAAAACATTGTTATTTTGGACGATTTAAATTATAGAGAAAATTGAACTTCTTTTATTTTCGTTTTTGCATCAGCAATGTGTGATGTTATACATCATCAAACAGACTTTCTTTTTAAAACAACAACTTGCGTACAAATATTTCAGTTACCAGAAACAACTTTTTATGTATGTATGTTAGTGTTCTGTTCTTTATTTTGCTCTCTTGTCTGTACATTGTTTTCGGTGTTTATATTTTTTTTACTTTCTTTCAATTACTGTTGGTGCGGTTATCCCTCTTCCTGTTCATTTAATCTAGTATATTCCCGATGATAATGACAACAAAGTCGATCCATGCATTTTTTTTCTTTAGTGTAAGATATGATTACGTGTACATATAAGTTCGTCAAACTTCTTTTAAGCTTAAATTTCCGATCCACTTTTGCGTACTTACCTAGTCTTTCTATAGACTTCATCTTCTTCATCAAAGGTTAACTGTTTTATGCACTGATCTTCCTGTAAAAATTTATTGGTTCCAGGCTCAACATGATCTAGATTTACATTAACATTGTTTATGTCCATATATATAAAATTGAGAATGGAAATGGGGATATGTCAAAGAGACAACAACCCGACCAAAGAGCAGACAACAGCCGAAGGCCACCAATGGGTCTTCAATGTAGCGATATAACCTTTTGATTGTTTTATAAATTTTGTGTCAAGACTTTTTGAAAGGCATTATTACTTTAAGCAGTTTTTTTAAATTTGATAATCATTCACTAAGTCACAATTGAATTATTGATCTTCAATTTTCGCCAAACTTCACTACTGATTTGATCGCGCTTAAAGTAAAGCACGTGCAAAATTCAAAATGAAGCAATACAGAAATCTAGTAAGTCTAAGTTGTACATAATAGTTGCTTACGTCCAAGCCATTCGGTTTCATTGGCAATTATACAATATATCTTTATTTTTATACAAATAAGACCATGGATTAAAATTACAAAAATGACTAAATAGAGATATCTTTTTGTTATATATGTCTTTATTAATTTTTAACAAATCACGTATGTTTAAAAGGAAACTTATTAAATTTTGATAAATTCAAAACACGGTTTATACTTATTGGAGATCTCCGGTGAAGCATGAGTTAGAATTTAATGTAGTTACCTTACACATAATGTATTTATCATGGACGATGGAATATTTTATATTTTACTTGCGATTAGTTATTCTGGTTAACGAGATATATTAACATGCTCCTATTGAAGATAATATATGCATTTTAGATATACAAATATCTGAAAGGTCATTTTCTTACTTCAAGTAAAACTTAAGTATGACAAAAGTTCCTTCCCCGGACGCCTCCATGTATAAAGCAGCACGCTGCTTTAATGTAAGGGCGAACTTGCCGTGCCATTCTCTACTTTGATATGATACAAATTAATTTGATAGTGAGGTATAACAAAAAATGTTTCCTAAGTCAAAGTTTCCCTTTGCTTAAACATATAGATTCTTACAAGTGAAGACGATTCCGATTGTGTCCATGTTGCATTTAAACATTTCGGCACCGATTTGCGTATGGGACTTCTACCTCTCGGCTTAGCTTTTTGAGGAATAGGTTTTCGGCTTTCCTGCAAATAATTTAATATTGCGTTATTAAGTTGCATGTTATGATCATGGCCGACTTTTAAACAATCAATTCAATATACATTTAAATGAAATAGTACATTGGAAGACAGTTTTTGGTTCAGGGATGACATTGTTTTTATATGTATGTCTTATTTCCTCTGTATTTCTGTTGCTTTCATTCGTCTTGATCAAACTCAAGAAGCTGTGGTAATATGAGTCTTATTTAAGATTGGGTATTTTTATCTGAAAGTTGCTCTGATGTTAAATAAATATAAGAGAAACCAATCCTTCCTGCTTATACCATTTTGATAATTTTAACAGTGTAAAATGAAAATATCAATTATAAATATTGTGCGCTCACAGCAATTTTTCAAATCTTAACCACCAGGAACTCTTAAAACTCCAAACATTAAGGCCAATGATATTTTAGTACTCTAATACGAAAGGAGTTTTATATAAAAATGTAACCAAAAGGGATCTAAAAATAATAGCAATGCAAGTTGCTTTTTTCTACAATTGATATAATAAATCATTTTAGTCAATTATGTATGATTCGTTAATTCAGCTAGTACCCGCGTTGTTCATTGACTATTTCATAACACATAAAACAAATCGAAAATTCTGTGCGGTCCAAATGTTAAATGTTATTTCTCGCAAATAAAACTTTACAAAATGTATTAATTACAAATTAAAGCCAATTTTGAAGAACACAAACTTAACATGCATGTGCTTACTTGTGAAACAGATCTTGCCCCGACTCTAGATGGCGATTTCGCCGGTGACCTAGAAACTCTCCTTGTAGTTAATTGGCCACTACTGGCGAATCTGCTGATCGGTCGAGGTATATCTATGTCTTTCAGAAGCTCTATAATTTCGCTTGTTGATAGTTCCTAAATGAGAAATCAAATAGTTATAGATTGTCATCCAGCGTGGTAGAAAAGATTGAGAACCATTTAGATACTAGGATTTATCCCAAAAGTTTAAATACTAGGTTATATCCCAAAAGGTTAGATAGAATATTTTATCCTAAAACTTTATATACCAAGTTTTATAAAAAAAAAAGTTGAGATACTAGGTTTTATCCAAAAAGTTTAGATACTAGGTTTTTATTATCCAAAAAAATTGATTCTAATCAGGAATATAAACACGTTTCTAAAAGATCTACTGTGGAGTTATTTTTAAAAATCCTTTGATTGAACCGCATTTAAAATTGTTTTGTGCTAGATATATTGTTAATAAAGATACCGGTGCAATTGCATCTAAATTAATGCATGATATTGCTCTGATTGTCTGTTGGAAGGTGAATGTAGCGGAAAAAATTTTAAAATAATAATAGACAAAAAACTTACCGAGAATTTACACAGCTTATGAATCATTTCGAAACATTTTGAATTCATCTTGTCTTCCGGTCTTTCCTCCTTGACAAGTGCATTCTTCTTTGGCGCATCTAGATCTTGCATCAAAGACTCGACGTCCGAATGCCAAGCCCACAGGTCTTTACGTAACCGACTTAATTTAGGAAAGTATTTCTTTCGTTGCATAGACATGGTGTGACCTTTTGAAAAATGAAAGACATCACAAATTTTAATATAAAATTTGTCTAAATCATTTTATTCATATAAATGAAATTTAAAGAGTTGTATACATTTATTTGTAAATTTTACGCCACATATTTCAACTCGATAGGAAAACGAGGTATTGATAAGATTCAAACTTTTTACCTTCAGAAGAAGGACGAGTAGTATTTCGATAGTATATCGATATTCATCTTTAAAAATAACATTTTGTTTCTTATGTATAAAAAATGCTTACCTTTTACTAATCCCTATCTATCTTTTATTCTTTTTCTCTATCTAAGGTTATCTTTTCATCTCGTTTGTTTTTGTGTAGAGTTGTGTATTGTCTATTATTTACATATTTGTTTACCCTCTATTACTTGAAATTCGAACCTTTCCTCTGTATAAGGTTCCAAGTTCTTAGTTTCAAAATCTTTTCAATGAATTATGTTCACAAACTCATGCATGAATTAGTGTATTGTCTTATATAAAACACCATATAATGCTACAAAAAATTAAATGAATGTCGGTTTTTAAAATAAATATCAACGTCCAAATTGTCACAAACATTAAACTTAATTTGAAAATGAAAATTAATAAAAACAAAAAACAAAAAAACAAAACAAAACCCAATATGTATGTTTTCCTTTCTCTGGTTTTAGTTTTTTGTTATGTTCCAAGTACATGTGCATTCATCGTTTGATATACGAAACGTAACGTGAACAAACCTCGTGAGACACTGACCGAGATCATACTTCGAGTTAATTTTTAAATTGCTTTTTTCTGGATTATTTTTATGTTGTGCATTTATCTCTCATTGTACTCTTTTATATTCATTGATCACATCAACTAATAGAACGCTAAGTTCTGCTTTGAATTGGCTTAATTCGCCTACACATAAATGTGCCTCCCAAGACACATTGGTCAGGAATGGTTGTGCGTCTTTCATTCTGCATGTTATGCCCATTAAAGAATAATACCGATACCTGTAAATGGTAGTGTCTGTTTTAATTCGTTTACTTTTTTTTTCTTGGTGGTGATCAAGTTTTTGGTCTGTGGTATCAACACTCGTCTAATATATAAACACGTATTTTGTCCTTTAGATGTCATCTTTGCGGTTTTTCTCTCTAATGTTGGATACCCCATTACTCATTTTTAAACATTCAATTTTATTGGGTTTTTTATTCAGTGTTGTTTTTTTTTTCAAATTGAAAACTACAAAAGGGAACTACGATAAATGTAAAAACTTCTGCAAAGATGCCAATACACTCTTGGCTTTTCAGCTGAGAAAACAATAAGAAGGTTTGATATGAGACAACTATCAAACAAAGTCGAAACGAAGCTGATTTAAGCAACTTTATGTCACCGTACGGCCTACATCAACGATAAAAACATATACCATATAGTCAGCTATATGTTCTTTTTGGTTAAGATTGTCAAAAGCATTGTATTTCTATTAACATTTATCTTCCAAATAGTTTGTTCTCTGGTGTACTTGAAGGAGTGTCCTTCACATACGCACTTAGACTGTTATCCTACCTACGAATAAAAGGAGATATATGCAAGCGAGTAGCTGTTAAACTAACTACAATTCAGCTATGCAGGAGATCGATCCACATAACATCTTATGGCTAGAATTAATTGTAAGTTTCATATATATTTATTCGTAATTGCGAGTGATTTCTGTGTAAGATGTTTTGTGCAGAGCCACATGTCTACTTATGGAAAAATAAAAAGTGCACTCGATATACACACAAATATTAGTATGGAATAACTAGTCATATACTAGAATTTTCAATTTAAAAAAACTGTCTTGATCAAGTATACATGTATAAACTACTATATGAAGAAAGTCATCAAATCAGTATTCAAGTGAGCATATTCCGTACACGCTATTCTTTATCATTTTCCTGATTATGCATGAAGTATTTGTCACTGAACGTACAAAAGAGAACAACCAATCAGCAGTTTAATTTTATAACATTCATATTAATGGTATGATCTTAAACATTACACAACATTTGGTATAGACAATTGTCTATTATTGAAGGTAATATATTGATATAGAAACTATATCTCCTTTTTATTCATAAAATATGCAATTTATTCGATACTCAAGTAAATGTAAGACACAATATTGACCCCATTGAGATCTGTATATGCAATAGCATAAGAAAGAAAAACTGTCCAAGAATGCCCCACGTGTTTTTCGTCTTTTTAGGCATGGTAGATGTAATCTTCTTTATCTTTCAATCACCCAACTATTTTGCAAATAACAGGTTCACAAATAAATATTTGCTTTATATGTACATTGTCGGATATATAAAATGTATTAGTTCTCCCTACGAAGCAGGAGTAAAGGTCGGCGAGACTCATTTTTCGACCCCTTTTCTAAAGCTCGTACAACTAAATTTTATTTTTTCCGACAATGTACATATATATTGTATATGTAAATTGCCATGAAAAAAACATGATTCGCAACTATATAAACGAAAAATTCAAGTAGTTAACGTTATTAACCGTTGTGCTATAATTCCACGTCAACAGAAAAAATGAAAGCACATATTTGTTTTATTTTTATAATATTTTATTATATCACTGTATATATAACATGCTTAATAGAACATAATGATAATTATGATATTGGTTGTATTCATGATATTGCACGGTTTAATGGATTTGCATATATGAAATAATTTTCATTTAAGCAACTGTATTTTCAAGATTATGCAAAATATTTCATTAGCACAAGTTCCTTCACAGTGGTTTTAACTCAAGCGAGTGCTCTGTCGAGGTAATGGGATGTTGTCAAATTTTCCGTATTTTATCTGACTATTAATTTCTAAAATTCTCCTCTTGTCTTGACAGCACTCACATACTCCATCACACACAAATACATACACACATACATTCACGTACTCATATACACTTAAATGATCACAATTATGTATTTATTGACTTTCAACGATTCCTTTACACAGGATGGGTCCATTTCTGTTTAAATAAACAGCAGGCCATACAACATAGTTGACGTAGTCACCATGTTTTCGGAATGTGGAAAAAGAATGTTGATCAATAACATATCCATATCGGAGATCAAAGTCTAAGAATATAGAAGGATTCTGCACGTTCATAATCCAGCAAACCTCAGCACACCTCTTTATGTACTCTGTCGCAGCAGTGCCAAAGTTTTGACCTCTTGTGATTCGTTTAGTACACAGCTAAAATAGAAATCAAGAATATTGACGGATTGGTTTTGGAATACTATAAATTATACTACACGCGTTCCTCATCGTCTACTATTTTGTTTCTCCCTATTTTTCTTTTTAATTTTAATCTTCAAATAATAAGATAATCAAATTTGCAGATTCTAGCCGGACTACTCCAAATTCATGCTTTATTTAATTGCAGACAGAAACAATATAAATTAAGCTGCCGCTAATTTTGTATTCTTAAATGAATGTTCATCTTTGTACGCAAATGGTATTTGTAATGGCGCACTCTTCCAGCACTCCCTACCCAAACAAACAAAAATTTGTAAGTAAAATGTACTTTCATCATCAGCGACTAGCTAAATAACAGCATACATAGTTTTACACTTGAGATGTTTTGAGCTGTGAATTATCTTTTGTGCTGCTACAATATGTAAATAGAAACGAACGTTGGAACATTTTACCACTATCTTGGGTAAACTAGCGGTCTCACCTGTTCAATTAAAGGTAAAGCCTCCTTTGCTGTTTTCTTCTGATATGTCCTAATGTACTTTTTACATTTGTCTGATAATGATACAGCAGCTTGAGACTGGAATAAAGATATGATAAATGATGTATTCATTGTTAAAATTGTTTGTTTTGATTTGAGATAGTTCAGTTTGATATAGTCTATAATAATATACTTCATGTTTAGCTTCGTTTACAAATATGTTGATAAGCTCTCTCCTGCATTTATATTTTATTAATCGAAGTCGCTTATGACTTCTTTAATACTGAGGTCCTGTCTTTTTCCTTGGCACCGATTCGGAAAAGTTTACTGTTGCATGCATTTTTTTAGGCTACACCAATTCCAGTTTGCTTACATCCACTTCCAGTTTGCTTACATCCACTTCATATGAACTTTGGTGGATAGCTGTCTCATTGGCAATCATACCACATCTCCTTATTTTTATATTAATAAAACAAAATATAAGAAGATGAGGTATGAGTGCAATGAGACAACTATTCCAAAGAAACGAAATAAGGTAGATGCTAGCACGTATAGGTCATCGTTCGGTCTTACACAACGACATTTAAGTTCTTTCGATTAAAAGGAGTTGAGATGTTGAAATAGTATGAAACTAGTGATGTGAAAGATATTAAAATGTTCATTTAATCGTTATTTAGTTTTGACTACTTACTTGCATAAACTTGAAGAAACATTTAAGTGTATCGTCTTTAATATTTTTCCTTTGTTCTTTTGTTAATGCAACACATGTAAAATAGCATTCCTGTAAAAATAAAGTAGACTTTTAGAATATGAATAAAACGGATTTGTGTGATACACGAATATGAAATAACAACCCAACAAGACAAACAAAAAACAAATCCCAATTACTCTCTAATACTGTCTGTTGTATTTTGTAGCTAAAAATGATATTTCAAAGGAAATAAATAAAAGAATCAAGAAAATCGGTTATTTTTTTTTTAAACCGAACCATTTAATATAATATATAATTAAGATCCATTTTTACATCTGGTGATCTGTTTATTTGGCAATCGCCATGGCAGTCAGCAGGGTTTAAGAACATCCGTTGTTCGACCTGCTAGTCAAATGCGTTTTGTTAAAATATACTTTTTCACTTTTTTGGTCTTTTGGAAAATGTTGTTTGTGCTGTATTTAGACCACTCTACCAAGAAATTTGTTTTTGCATGCACACGTATAAAAATTGCGGTTTTTATCCAACGCAATCATAGGTTTGAACGTTGTTTTCAATTTAGACTTGTTTATATTTTTTTGTTTGGGCTTGTATTATATTTGCCTTCGGGTTTATATGATCCGTTCATCCTATTTTGACTCTTCAAAATTCAAGAGTCAATCCCAAATTGAGATAAATTATATGGCCTTCCAAATACCGTTTCGATTCATAACATCACTGAAGAGACATTTATTGTCGAAATCCGGATATGGTGTACAAATTTTTGCACCTTATGTTTGCGGTATACCATCTTTTCCGCAAGTTTATTGTTTTCTGTTTGGTATATTATTAATAAATTAAGATCCATTTTTACATCTGGTGATCTGTTTATTTGGCAATCGCCATGGCAGTCAGCAGGGTTTAAGAACATCCGTTGTTCGACCTGCTAGTCAAATGCGTTTTGTTAAAATATACTTTTTCACATTTTTGGTCTTTTGGAAAATGTTGTTTGTGCTGTATTTAGACCACTCTACCAAGAAATTTGTTTTGCATGCACACGTATAAAAATTGCGGTTTTTATCCAACGCAATCATAGGTTTGAACGTTGTTTTCAATTTAGACTTGTATATATATATATATATATAATATTATTCCATGCTCCATATTTATAATATGAAGTAAATAAAGCGACTGGAGTAACATATTACTAGTATTCCCTGAAAACAAACGTTAAGGAAAGCAAGTACATAACAATGTATCAAATATGTTTATATAATACCTTGAGCCACAGTCGTAATAATTCAATAGCATGGTCATCTGTATATCGTTTAGTCAATTCAGTAAAACAATCATTCCACTCGTTATTGAACACAGACTTGAAAACTTCAGTAATAACAGCGGGTGCATTTGTTTGTTCGGAAACAGCTCTTTCTGTGGACAGGCCACCACTTCTGTCTGTCACCAGCCCTTCTGCGCTGTATCAATAAAATAGTAAACTTTATAGAAAAAAAAATACATGGACATGTAACTAAATGATCGATAAAATATGTGTAATCGATCTAACCTCATCCAATCTATCGATTTATTAACTGATTTTTTGAAACGTCACTTTCTGAACTATTGACTATATCGTTGCGGTCATTTGTTATTCGTGGAGGACACCGGAGTGCCTGAAGAGAACCATCGACCCTCTGCATGAAAAATGACAAACCTAGTCGCACGCATCTAACAAGTGCGGGGCTCTAACTCACAGCCTCAGTGTTGACAGGCTAATGATACAATAGCTGAACTACTAAGACCACTCGGCCACCGATATACGTTCTTCGTAATCATTAAACATATATGTAGTACCTGCTTCCAGGAATGTCAATTTCGTCCATTTGTTCAGCAATCTGTTTGTCAAGTTCCAGAAGCTGATCAACATCTTTATCTATACTGCTGTCTCGTTCATTTACTCTGAAAAATGTTTTTGTATGAGAAACATATATTAAGGTTGAAATATTGTTTGGAAAATGCAAACACACCATACTTTGTGTAAATGCATGCAAAGGAGATGGTACCATTTGGCGGCAACAAAGATTGTAAAAATAAAAGCACAAAAATTCAATAAATCGTGATAAGTTGCTTTGGTGATGACACAATCGGTAAAAAGGTAGACGACATTTTTGGCTACAAGTAGACCATATCCTTGGTCATGTGTGAGACAGATAACGGGTTAACTAAGTCATGTGGGCATAAGTTAAAATTTCAAGGATATCCTCAACTTTTTAAGAGTATCAGTTTGACCAATAGCTTCATTGTAAGCAGAACCCTTTATACAAAATAAAAACATTATTGGAAAAGCAATCCCTGAAATACTATTGTCTTCATCAGGACAAACTATATCGGAGAACAGATTAATTTACCAAGGAAGCGTTTTACATACGTGATTCCAATCTTTTGTTTGTATTTCATCAATAAATAAATAAAAAAAAAGTAAATGAAAAATGGTGTGTTGCAATAACAGGCATATAATCATTTATACGTACATGTATTTCGGAGGAACATTTGACTTTTCAAACTTTCTTTTCGTTTCTCTCATTTCGTCTTCTATCAGCTTTCGTTTTATTTTCTCCTGTTCGAGAGCTTCCTGCAATGCATAAGTATCTAATATAATGTTGCAATTGTTGATAACGTCAAAATTTGTTAACCCAATATTTCAGTGTATACTTAGTAATCATATTTGTAAATCTACACAGAAATTTTGTATGGATTTAAATTTCACTAACCAGTAGGTTGATAGATTTTAGCATTTCCATCTCCAGCGTTTTCCTCAGCTCATATTCAACCGCCCTCGTCTCGGGAGAACTACTCCTTTTGATAATCGTCGTCGTCTGCCTTTCCTTGAGTTTCTTGTACCCGGCACTTTCCTGTAAGTAAAGCATTGTCATAGTAAAATGTGTCATCAAATCTCAAATTCTTGTTTATTAATATCAGTTCTTTTGAAAATTTCGTATTTATTTTGTGTATTCATTTGTTCCATAGAAATGTAATAGTATAGATATAGCGTTAAAAGTAAAATAACAAAAATACCGAACTCCGAAGAGTTAAATGGTTTCAATTTTTAATCTTAATATTACGAACTAAGGTGCAAGGAAGACATATGTATCACTCTTATGGTATGATTTGTCAAGTGCTTGTGAGTCGTGTGTGGACTACTGAAACTGTTGAATTCGAGCTGAGCATACCATATGTCTTTTATATACGTGGCTTAAACATCTAGTAAGTGTTTTAGATCATAAACAAACATAAGATGAAGAACAGCAATAAAAGCGTTGTTGCTTTGCTTTTTATATTTTTTGCTGTGCACTTACTGAGTTTGTGTCATGAATGAATACCTATATTCTTTCTTATCTATTAAAACTACAGCAATCGAAAATAATTTGTATCAAATCAAGAGTGGCAGAAACAGATAAGTAAGAACAGTTGGTATATACATCTTATTACGTACAAGTATGATATCACTGTCAAATAATGTATTACTTACAAGTTTTCTGTACATTAGTGTCAGTACTTGTTCGTACGACTCATATAGAGTAGAGTCTGGGAGTCTGGACCACAAACGAATAGCGTAGTCTACTTGTTTCATCCATGACTTCATGTCTTCATTGAGTCTATCCAGTTTACACTTAAGTTCATATTTGAATCTACTCATATTTATCCAAATTCTCGAAATCTCAATTATAAATATCTCGAATAATTATAGTTTTATTTGTCAACAATGAATAAGGAAAAACTGCGTTGAAGTACGAATCACTGTTGCATGAAACATTTGTAAGAAAACGTCAAAAAATCATAATCATTTTCAAAACAATTTAAGCATGTAGGCTGCCTTTTAACATTTATAGAAATATGTGTAAAATAACAAAACATTACGGTAAAATCAATATGATATATTCCCCCAAAGTATTGTAAGGTATACAATGGCGACCTTTATCGATCAATGATGCACAGTGACCTTTTGATGATAACATGTAAAGATTAAGTGATCAGGTATCAAATAAGAAAATATTTAAATCCTGTCAAAGTGGATCTATACCGATTGATCATTTGATCCGTTGAACCGTTGATACAGGTAACAATACATTGGTTTTACTTTTGTAAACATATGATGTATTCATATATGAGTACTAAGTAATTGATTTTATGCATATTTGTCAGTCATTATTATTGTTTGAGGATTAGATATATTGTTTTTAGAATCTGAGCTTTCTTCATATCTCTCATTACTGTATTGCATATCAGATAGATTATATATTAGCTTTATCAAAAATATAGCCGTGTGTTTGTTTATTCCACAGTGGCTAATGGTATAGAGGGAGGGTTGAGATCTCATAAAACATGTTTAACCCCGCCGCATTTATGCGCCTGTCCGAAGTCAGAAAATTTCTAGCCATTGTTAGTCTTGTGTGTTTTTGTTTTATTTTGGTTCATTTATATGCTTTGGAGTTTAATGTGACGTCCATTTTGCTGAACACGTATGCATTCATGTTCCTTATAGTATGCAACCTCCTCGATTTACGAGGAATAATGCTTGGCTAAAATCATGCTTATATATCAACCTTACCTTAACTTATCACAATTATCTACGGGTCCCATCCTCTGTTCCTTTATCAAAACTTAAGTCTTATGTAAAAATAATATATAAGAAGGACCAGTACTGCATATTTTCAAGAGACTAAACTCAATTTTGCACGCCAGACGCGTGTTCCGTCGACAAAAGACTCATCAGTCACGCTCGAATCAAAAAAGATAAAACAGCCAAATAAATTACGAAGTTGAAGAGCATTGAGGACCATAAATTCTGACAGCTTTTGCCAAAAAACAGTGAAGATAATATATTCATTAGGTAGAAAATCCTTAATATTTCGAAAAATTCAGTTTGAGTGATGTATTGTTTTTATTCTAGGCAAAATTTTATGGAAAATTTTACAATCGGTACTGCTTAAATAAGAGCAATTTTCGGGATGCGATATCATTTCTCTACCATTGCCGCCTTTTTGCTCCTGAAACGAATTCATTCATAATTCATGAGAAATAGCCGGGTTACTTATAAGTTTCAAAGGAAGTATTTTCATATATGGTCAATCTTTATCAACGAATGCCTCTGATAGACACATTCCCCCCAAACCGGAACAAAAACCAGATTATGTGTTCATCGCTTTAAGAAATGCTTAATCAATGGTTTTTATTAAAACATTGAGCAAATAAAGAAAACAACAACACTTTATTAATTCGGTACATCCGAAGCGCTTTTCTTGATTCACCTTCATCAGGAAAGTTCAAACTCTCATAAAAAAGGAAAACTCTGTCTGTGTCATATGTGAGATACTCTAAAATATCGGAAGAAAAGGAAAAGACTACTGCTAATGTTCTTTTAAAAAGTGGTCAATATAACAGACGATTTAAAATTATCTTAAGTTAAGTTTTGATCAGTTTGATATTCACTTTATGATAGTGTTTGTCTGATTGTGTGCACTATGGTAAGGGTAACACAATTGTAGTCTTATTCTGTACACTTACAGAGCGCCGTAATTCTGTTGTAGGATTTTGAAATGGTTCATATTCATGTTAAAACAGTCACTTTAATTCAATATGCAAAATCTCATGTGTCATCAATTAATGAAAATATTTTCATTAACTGCTTGTTATTATTCCAATCAATTTTCCCAAGATGGTGATCATATGATCAAATCGCGAAAAGGTGAAACCCAAATGAAAAATTGGTAAGTTTAATAGAAGTAAGAAATATTTTATAAATATATAACTAGGAACGAATAGAACAATTCCCGACAGGAAGCTTTACTAAATTACAGTGTAGCCGAAGGAGTTAGACTGGAATCTTTAAATTATTGAAAATAGTTTTCGTATTACTCACGAGCTCAAAGGGAGTGATATAAGTTGAGCTTAATATAACACATATAAAGTAGTCTCAGATTTAGGAAGTTTTCCCGTGTTAGAATATAACATGACAGCACATTTAAGAGGTGGTGTCGATTTCTACACGGAAATCTGTCTATAATCTTCTCATAAATATTTTCATTTCATTTTGTTGAAATTATATATTGTTAAAAGAAAGGTTGAAACTCTGTTCCCATTAAATATTAGTATTTTAGAAAAATACCACCACAAGATAAAAGGTTCAAATCTTCAATTAGTTAATGCTTCAGTGATGTTTTCGGTCGAGGTCATAGCTGCATATAAATATGTATTAAACAGTTGTGTTTTTGGTGAAAGATTATAATTATTCACTAGACTTTCGATTTTTTTATTAAAAATGATGAATGTGTAAACTTTTAAATCTGAAAATCAGAAAATCAAAAACCTCTCAATATTGATGTAAATTGAATTTATTTTTTGGTGAAGCTGCTGCTCATATTTCATTGAAAAGGTTGTAAAACCAGAAAAGGGAATAACGTAAGTTCAACCCAGGACAAGGAATCGGAGCTGTGCATGATGTAGGTGGGAGGGAGAAAACAACAATGTTTCCATTGAAGAATTGACTGAATAATCGATTAACGTCTATAGGCAAAATAACATCCATATTCAGGACGAAATAATCTTCAGGAGATATTCAAATACCCTGTTTTTCAAATACAAAGTAAACAATTAAATGTATGCCACAACTATCTTTTGTATCTAATATGTCCTCAAGCAATAGGCAAAATATTGATGAAATTTCATTTCAACTTGATTTAGTTCTAAATGCATTATTCATCAGCGATTAGATGTGGGAATTTTTAATAGAAGGGTATATATAAGATTTATGAACGATTTAGCTTTATATCAACTTTACTAATATTCTTATTATCACAGTAAAACATACTGACTATTTTGTAATGTCAGAAGAATCGTGTTATACGGTGCAGTATTTGGTTCCAGAAATTTGGAATGTTTATTCTCAAATTACATTTGCTGGACTTTTAATGATATTAAATACCTTTCTAGTAATAGTTTTTTCGATGCACTGCTCTCCAGTCACAATTTTACTTTCTGTTTTAGCAGTTACAGACACGTTAACTGCATTGTTTTTGACAATTCCAAATGTAACTGGATATTACTTCTTCTATAATGACCTTGAAAGGAGTAATGGCTATCATTTTAACGGATGGTATTGGGAAAGAAAATATCCATTATGTGCTGTACTCTTCGTAATAGAAGGTTTAATCTATACCAGTCACATGATATCTGTAGTTATAACTACTTTATTGTGCATACAAAAGGCATTAGTTATGAGATTTCCGCGCTGGGGGAAAAGATATCTGAATAAAGCAATGTCTTTTCGAATAGTAACCGTAGCCATATTATGTATATGTTTTCTCTATATACCAAGTATGGTTCATGGCATGATGAACATGTCACGTGGTGTAAATGATAAATGTTGCTTTTCACAGGATCATTTGATTATGCGTCGGATTTATGCGCCTATTGCCTCAATTGAAGATGATCATACAACTAGTACTTCGACTTCTAACGACTGGCAAACATCAATCAATCAATCTACCGACTGGCAGCCTGGTAGTGCTATAAAAGAGTTTGATTACTGGATATCAGATGAAAATGTTTCTCTAACATCTATTAATCAATCTAACTGGCAGTCTGAGTCTGGTAGTGGTACAGAAGAGTTTGATAACTGGATATCAGATGAAGAGACTTCGAATCACACACTTTTCCAGATCACTACCAAGAAACCAAAATATGTTGGAGGAGGATCGATGGGAACTTGTGGACGTAGAATTATAATGTATGGGCCATTTTTTATCCGTCCTTCGTGGTGCTAACGAATAAATTATACTGTGGCACATATATCGATGATTCGTAAATGAGAATAAATTAAAATTAAATGTATTGGCAGTGTGGTTTTATGTGTTGTATTTCAGGTATCCCTGTAAGCATGTATACACGTTTTATAAAGTATAGAGTATGAGATAATTGATTTTATGCATATTTGACAGTCATTACTATTGTTGGAGGATTAGATATTGTTTTTTAAAATCTGAGCCTTCTTCATATCTCTCATTAGTATATTGCACATTAGATAGATTGCAGATTAACATTAGATAGATTGCAGATTAACATAAGATAGATTGCAGATTAACATTAGATATCTTAAATTCTAAAATGCAAATGTCTTATACTCCATATGTTAAGATTACATAATGTTAAAGTGCATCGTATATCTAAAAATGGATATGATAAATATTGCACGTCCTTATAAATCTAATAACCACTCTTTCATGTATCTAAAACCATAAAGATATCTGCTGAACCACGACTGCTTTAATAAATTTTTTTTCATTTTACCAACCATATTTTATATTATTTACATTCATGTTCCCAATGGTATGCAATTTCCTCGGCTGACGAGGAATGCTTGGCTAAAAAGTTACTTTTCTATCAACGTCTCGTATCTCTCGGTAACTAGTCTCGTATCTCTTTTTTTACTGGGGTTTTGGATCATAGTCCTATTTTTGATACAGAATTCGTTTGTCTTAAGAACCATCTAAATTTCTTTGATTGAGGACATATGTGACTTTGAGATGAAGTACAGCAGTAAAAGTGTCGTTCCTTTGCTTTTTGTGCGTATTTTGCCATGCATGTGCTGATTTTGTGTCATGGATGGAAACCCATATCCTTTGTTTTTTTCTGTTAAGGAAACTTTGTCATGTCGGGGTCTTTTATAGCTTGCTATGCGGTATGGGTTTTGTTCATTTTTGATGTCTTACCGAACCTATAGTTGCTAACTTCTACATCATTTGGTC